ATAGTAGTTTAGTTACTTGTTTTAAGTTTTTTACTTTAGTTGTTCTTTTCGTTTTTTGTTTAACTTTACTAATAGTAATTACTCGTAGTTCGTCCGTCCTACTTACGTCTACTCTCTCTCTCTCTCTCTCTCTCTCTCTCTCTCTCTCTCTCTCTCTCAAACTCTTTAGCTTAGTATTGTGTGATGGTTACATGAAGTCATGGTGCTGAGTGAATCATAGTTCCGTCACATTGGATTATTAAAAAATCACAGGTTTGGATTGAGAATTGCTTATCCGAATTGGAAATCAGTGGTGGGGGGACCGGTTTTCAAAAAATATAGGGAATCGGCCTTATTCAATCCTAAAACCACTTTTTTCCTGAAGTATTTTTTTTTTCATGATATTTCATGTTTCTTAAACTCCAAAATTCCTTTTTAGTTCCTGTAGATTCTTTTCTTTTGTTTTGTTTTTCTGTTTTGATAGATTTTTTATTAGTCCAATTTGAGAATTTTTAGGGATTGAGTTTGGCTTGAATCGGGTTTGAGCTTGAGTTGTTGCCAGTTGAGCTTGAGTTGTTAGCTGTTGATGTTAGCATTGATATATCAAATTCAATTCCTACCACTGAATTAACCAATAAGAAGTATGGATCAAGAGATTTCAATTAAAAAAAGAACACATTTTTAGTTCGGACCTGAAATTAGACAGGGTGGTTATATCTTTCGGTACGGGCCTGTTGGAACTATTAATGTACTAAATTATATTACAATAGGATTGTTTGTTCAGGTTTTAAATGCAAAATATAATCATTTTGAGCAGCTAACAGAATAGTTGAATAAGTACTAGAGTGCTTAAAACGGTTTGAAACAATCTTTATTTTAATTTGTTAACTTGATGTTTACAATGACTTGTTTTGGGGGGCTCAACTATAATTATGCTTGCGTGCAAATAGGAATGGAATAAGTGATGGCATGAATAAGATACGTAGACAACCAATTTGAGATTGGTTAATTTTTAAAATTCTTAAAACCCTAAATTCCAAGCCCTAAACCTGAAGATTGGCATTTAAGGCATTATTTAGAGGTATTTTTTGAAGATAAACCATATTGAAATAATAAGTAGAAGGTAAGCCCAATACTGGTAATTGGGAAATCTTTTACCCATTAAAGATTATTGGGATATCTTTTACCCATTAAAGATTTTGTGAAGGGTTGTGACCGCTTTTAAATGATGTTTTTCATGTGAAGGAACAAATACTAGAAAAAGAAATGTGCTTGTATAGCATATTGGCCAGCCTATGATGCTGAGGATACCCTCAACGAATTCACTTCGTAAATGGAGAATACACAATGGCAAACCGGATGCGAAGAGTGCTTGATCCTGCTAGCTCACTTGGTTGGGGAACTCTAAACTCAACCATCACTTTGGAACCAAGACACAGAACATGCTGATGACCCTGCTAAGAGAAAGAATCGGCCGAGCTTTCAAAGGGAAGAAGATGACGGGACCTGCTCGAATGCCATGGCTACAAGGGAATCTCCATCATCATTTCCTCTTTGAGCCATGACATTCGAGCAGGTCCCGTCATCTTCTTCCCTTTGAAAGGTAATCACGATCTTCCATCATCATTTCCTCGGACTAAAGGTAATCACGATCTTGGGCACGGACAGATGGTGGAAGACTACCCTTAATGGACACACCATTAATGAACACTTTGATTCTCATGTTTGGCTTAGTTTTTCATATTCATCAACAGTGAAAGAGATTTTAAGTAATATCCTAGCAGGGTTTCTCAAAGACATGAGAAGGAGATGGAAGATAAAAAACTACAAGAAATGCTCCACATGAATTTAGGTGATAAGAAGTGCATTGCAATGTTGGATGATGCATGGGATGAAGAAGTGTGGAAAGTGGTCGATTATTCATTTCCAGCTTTAAGGAATGCAAAGGGGATGTCTCTTCACCAATTTATGAGTTAAGAATATGATGCATAATCCTACTCTGCAAGGAAGCATTTTGGATGGCAGATGGAGACACTTCTCCTTCAGACATGAAACAAGAAGCAAGACTCCTTGTTTAAGATTGTCATAGTATTCCCTAAGGGTGAGAACGAGATTGGCCTAATAAATAAATTAATAAAAACAAAGAAAAGCATAGGGCGAGGCTATGCTTGGGGCGGGGGAAGCATGTTTGGGTCAGCCCTGGCCTCGACTAGGCCCTAGGCTGACTCAGACACCCTTGGCCCGGGCCTCGACTAGGTGCTGCCCCCACTACCAGGCCTAGGCAGAACTAAGGCAATAATTTGTGGGTCAGGCTTGAGCGGTCGGGGCAGGGCGGACACAGACACCCCCACCCTGCCACTTTGGGCTATGGTGGTCCGGTCTTTGTCTGGCCCTCAGGCCACCGTACCTTTTAACATTGGGTCATGCCACTCAACCCATTGCCAACTCTAGTTTTTTGTTTGCAACTCTTATTGTAGGTGGTATGATGTCTAAACAACCCCGAACAATATCTACTTCGGCAAATGCCCACCATGAAGCAGTGAGAGCTGTCTTGGCACTAAACTTTATGGGTGTGTCGCCTCTCCAAGGTATCTTTGTTTTTTTTTTTTTTTTTGTGCTCGTTATTTTTAGAGGACTATGAAATTTCTCGTTCGAAATTGATTAGGTTATGGGTTTCACAGATATTCATAAAAGGTCGGTAGGGCAAAGGGGGAAGTAACTTGGAACATTCAAAAAAAAAAAAAAAAAGAGGAAGTTACTTGGGTTTGTTTTAGAAAAACCATTAGATTGAAGTTCGATTTACATAGAAAATATTGGTCGAAGAGGCATGTCAATGCATGTTGTGCAGCAAAGCTTGGTCTCTTAGTTTGGAAAAATAGACTATCAAGGCATTTCATGATAGCAAAAATAGCAAATTCGTTAATAGACGCCAGCATGTCTCAGTCCAAAAAGATGTCATATATGCACGTAGAAATGAAAATGTTGCATCATGCATTTTACTGTCGAGCACAGTGATTTAAAAAATGGATTTGTTACTTTAATCGAGCACCCCAAAAACTCGTTTGGATTGGTGAATTAGCAGTCTCGATCGCCGTTTTACTGTGTGCCTTCAGTATAAACGATTTGCAACCATTATGGTTGGCTCACTTGTTCTCTGACTCCACATTTCTAAGGGCCTTGGACCTAGAAGGCATTTATGTTAAGAGTGTTGACCCAATGAAGTGGGTCACCTTATTAATCTTAGGTATCTTGGATTAAGAGATACGGGCAAGCTTTCTATGCTTCCCTTGATGCATAAAACTTATATAATTCCCGCTATCCAACCACCCATTCTGAATGGACGGCTGATATGGCCCCAATCATAATGTTACGTCTCTACACTATTTTATTTTTAATTTTTTATACAAATTATTTTGACACCAAATTTTGAGCGGCCACAACTCTCTTAAACTTGCACTTGTAAAATATAAAAAATATCCCCAATAAAATAAAATGGCCAAAATACCCCTGAAATCTTTAGGGGTATTTTGGTCATTATATTTTATCAAAAATTCATTTTTAATATCGTTTTTAGGTGCGACCAATTGAGAATATAGCATGTACCAAATTTTATTTTTATATAATTTGTAAAAAAAATTAAATTAAAATATTTTGAGGCATTGGATCTCGATCAAACGGTAACTGACTCACTTGATCTAAATTGAACAGCTGAATCGGAGGAGAAATATAGAAACCTTTCCCAAGAGATACATGGGTATAGAAGGTTCCTGATCTTTGGACTTAAGAAGCTTGTAAACAGTGGACAAGGGAAAATTTACAGGAGAACTCAGTGAAATCTCAAAAAATAAAGGGACAATTTTAGATATTCCCCTTGATAAAAAAAATATTTTTTTTTTTAAAAAAGTACCTTTAATGTATTTAAGATAGTTTCTCTCTCTAAAAACTTCAAATTTGAAATTTCAAAATCATCGAAAAAAAATTTAGAGAGAGAACTATCTCAAAAGTTTTAGAGAGAAACAATATCAAAAATTTTCTAAAGAGATAAAGTATCACAAATTTCGAATTTTAAAGAGAAACTAAAAAAAATTAGTGAAAGTATCTCAAATTTCAAGTTTTTAGGGAGACAAATTCTCTAAAAATATGAAAGTCTTGAGAGTGAATGAAGGGATGGAGAGGAATATAGATTTAAATTGGGGGTATTTTTATCCTTTAAAAACCTACTTTTTAACTTATGGGACGGTTCAAAAATATGATCGGGGTTGGTAGTGTGATTTAAAAAGTATTAGGGGTAACATATCTATGCTCATGGGGGTATTTATAATTTTCCTAAAATAAAAAATGTTTTACGTATTTAAGTGTATCTAAGTATTCTTCTGACGGAATTAGGAATGGTTTTAAGGATTCCAAATGGAATTGGGAGTCCGAACATCCAAACATTAGGATACATACGAGGTGATTCAAACATTATTAAAGACCTGAGGAATTTGACAATGTAGCCTAAGTAGCTTCCCCAAACTTCAAAGACCATCTAAGTTGGATGTCCATTTACTCGCTCTGGTAAAACCCCAACTTGAATTAATTTGAGGACGCCAACATTTGGGGATGTAATTTCTTCAACACATAGATTAACCTCAAAAACAATTTCCTAATTGTACTCTCTGTGCACTTGAAATAATAATATCTCGAGATTGAATAAAGACCATCCAAGTCATAGATGGTAATATCTAAGTGTTAGAAAATTCAAACTTCAATTTCTTTTCTTTTTTTTAGAATAATCATCTACTAATTCTTAAGTAGTTCCCAAATTCAGATTGAAAAAAAAACTCAGTAGAAGTAAACTATATGCCCGAGGGGAACACAGTATATATATACGTGTTCTTATTTGTTTGAATGGGAGGATTTAGAAGTGGGGGAGACAACCATGCTAAGAAATCGAGGAGGTTACCCCAAGGCTCGGCATTACTACCAATACATAGGAAATGATATTCATAATGATACATAAAAAGTTTGGCCAGCTGAAATGAGTTATATGTGCTCAATGATGTTTAAATTTGGAAAAATCGTAAAAAATACGTTAAAATGGACTATCCATGCAACTTACCCCCAACTCAATCTTTTCTCTCACTTTTATTCTCCAAACAATCTTTCCTCGCAAATAACCCCCAAATCTAAAAGTAGCATGAAATAAGACTAAACTATCCTTGCTTGTTTTCACACGGCCTTCTCTCTCCAGTTTTCACATGTGCTCCGGCAGTATAAACACGTGCTTCGACAGTCTGAATGTGTGCTCCGGCAATGCAGGTTTGAGCCACAACGCTCCGGCAGTATAAAAACTCACTTCAGTAGTGCAAAGACATGCTCCAACAATGAAGTATCTAGAGCCACAGCGCTCCAACAATGGAAGACCGCGCTCCAGTAGTTTAAACAAGCGTTCTGGCATTTTGAATGTATGCTCCAGCAATGCAAGTCTGAGCCACAGCGCTCCAGCATTATAGAACGCACTCCGGCAGTGCAAATACGTGCTTCAGCAGTACGCTACTTGGGACCCGTGAATTGATTTGGTTTGTACGGGAAGGGTATTTTCGTCAAAAAAATAAATAACAACTTCTTATCTTGGGGGTTTTTACGAAAAAAGGTTGTTTTGGGAGAAAACGTAAGGGAAAAGATTAAAGTGGGGGTAAGTTACATAAATAGTATATTTTAAGGTGTTTTTTTATAATTTTCCATTTAAATTTTATCGTTCCCATACCATATGACGTTTGTGTAGTTTTATCATTAGCTGTTTTAGATAATTTCTCTCCTTTCTAGGTTTAAGTGAATTTTTTTTTTTTTTTTTTTTTTCTATACATCAGATTGGATTATGTACTTTTTTACCACCCAACAGCCAAAAATAATATAAAAATGATTTGGAAAATTTACAATGGTTCAGATATCCTAACGGTCAACAGCACATCTGAGTATTTCCATTTTATTTTATTTTCTATGCATGGGATTGGGCTAAAAATTTGGGTGTCTATGATTCTCCCCCGCATAAAGTTGTAAAAAATGTAAAATATTTTCTAGAAAAATAGAATAACTGAAGCAATATGAAACTCCCTATCTAAACTTTTTCGATCGCAATATTTAGATCTTGATTGGATTGTTCAGAGTAGTTCAATTTTATTTATTTTTATAAATTTGATAGATCTGAAATTGTGTGCTCCATACATCTACATAATTTGCACCCATAATTTTTTTTCCTAAAAATAAAGTCACTAATTTTCCCTTGAAACGTCAAGAGGTAGTTTGGTCATTTTATTTTAAATAAATATATTTTTATATTTTTTTTATAAAACTACTCAATTAGGCGCACCTATCTTCTAAAGTTTATCTCAATCTGATTTCAAAATAAGAAAATTTGAAGTTTAGTATACATTTAAAAACTGACAAAATAATCCAAAAAATCTAAATCCACATTTCCCATTTTTGAGCAATTTACTCTTTCATGTGGGGCTGTGGAAGTCCACATTTCTCCTTTATGAAAAATGTGGACTTCCTTACAATGTAGCATTTTCGGTCGCCAAAATGGGAAATACTGCAGTTTTAAAAAAACTCTGTATCTAGCAACCAAATTTCTGATCGCCAAAAGACATTTTCAAGTCATTAAATCATATCTCCAATTAAAAGTGATGGTGACTTCCATATAGCAAAAATAGATGATGTTATTGTGTACAAATCCATTATATTATTATTTATTCATTGCTTATTTTACTTCATGCATTCAATGTCATTGGTTTTTTAACTCTGTTTAAGTCAATGCATCTTCAATCTCTAATAGGGCTGATAATGGGCCTGGGCGGCAGGCGGGCGTTTGGATCTGGTCTAGACGACACGGCTGGTCGACCTGGACCGGTGGGTGATCGATCGGTTCTGAGTTTTTAAACACTGAGTTAAGCTATCATTCCCCTGACTCTTTCTTATACTCAGTCCATGTATGCCAAGTGAATAATCTTATATTCTTATACCAATAGGTGGGTCATATACAATAAGGGATTGAATCAATTTGAAAGCGATACTGGCATAAGTCTTCATTATCGTGTTTGGTTGATTTACTTTTGGCATGATTTGTTGACAAAGTTACGTGTGCTTCTCTATTGGGCCCTTCATGGGCCGTATGTTAAGGAATACAAAATTCATTTATCCATTCGATTTTTTGGTGAAGGGTTTATGACATGCCTTTGGGACGCACAGAATATCCCATTATGAATATATTATTGTGATCTCCTTTTGAACATTAGGAAACAAAAGGGCTTGTATACCATGAGACTATTTGCCAAGAAGGTACAGTCACTCTGAGCCATTCGATTTGATGGTTACCAATAACCGATTTTCAATAAATAATTTCTTGAACTTTATATATAACCAAAGGATGAGCCTAGTCATATGGTTTCACATCTAAGTATTAGGGTGTTTGTGGCTTCCTTGTGCCTGAAGTGATCAGATTGATCATGTACTTTTTTAACCAGTATTTGAAAAATCAAATCGGCCTTGGAAACCGACCAAGGACCAGGTCCGAGTCATTGGTAAACTGTTTGTTTATGTCCCGACAGGTCCAAAAGGTGTTAAAAAAATAAAAAAATACAAAAAAAAAATGAAAGGTTTGATTAAACAAAGCACATCCAATTGAAGTTGTAAAATCATTGAAAAATGAATTTTAAGAAACCGATTTGTGTCTAGAAGTATTTTCAAAAAAATTTAAAAAAGATAAAAAATATGAAAATAAATATGCATGGCCAAAAAACTTTCCAATACTCGCTAAAATGAATAGAAAGAACATTTAAAAATACATTACAAATAAATCCTTTTTAAAAAAAAAAATACTTTAAAAAACCTAGCTAGGCCACCAAATCGGCTAAAACCGAATCGGCTAATGCCTAGTTCCGGTTTGACCGGCTAGTTCCGAATTGGACCGGCCGAGTATGCGAGCACTGTTCTCAACACAAAAGTAACAGGGCCATGACTGTATATGGTTGTGGTCCACATTTTATTGAAAAAACTGGTCTTGATACCAAAAACTCTACGGATCCATAATTTCCTCCTCGACAAATATGGATCCAAAAAGAATTAGTTACAGCCCCTAAGAGTAGTTTATCATGCCACACTCTTCAAGACTGCCAATTTCAAATCATCAAATATTCACCAAATCTGTACCAATTTTTAGAGCACTAAATTCCACAATAAGGAGGAGAAGTGACCAAATCTGTACCATTTTTAGAGCACTAAATTCCACAATAAGGAGGGGAAATGGATTTATAAGCCTTCACATTGTTATTCGATACTTGTTACCAATACTGGTTTGGACTTGCAGGTCCACTCAATTGGATAACCAACTAGCGCCTGCATAATTTAATCAAATTGGTTTATAAAAACCAAGTTAAAACCAAGATGTGATCACTTTTGGTTATTCAAATTGGATGAGGTTGATCAAACTGGTGAAACAAAATTAAATAATTTTTTTAATATATTTTATATTTTATAAATTTTTTTATTATTTTATCATTTTAAACTCAATTGACCCACTTGACCAATAGTTAAACTGATTTTAATTGGACTATACTCCTCCCTTATTCGTCGATAGCAGATACCATCCCAATACCAATAATATAAACCATGACCAAGACCTCATCCAAGGAAAAGTTCATCGTACACATCGTATATTGTACAAAACTAAGCATCGTTTGTCCAATCAAAGGAATCAAATGATGCCTAGCCGTTAGTGACAAATTCAGTCTACAAATTGTTAGTTCTTTTTTATATAAACCAGTTAGGAAAGTCATAAAACAAAGGTTGTGGTTTCTATAAGGTTGCAACCTTAAACAATCCAATTAAGACGTACATCCAAGTTTTATCATAACATGTATTTTTGGCGTAAAACATTCTTAAGATTATCTGAAAATCTATTTTTATTTGACTATTTTAATTTGACTAATTTCATTTGGCCTAAAACATTCTTAGGACTATTTTAGTTAGATTGATTTTAATTTTAATTTTAATTTAACTATTTTCATTTGACGTAAAACACTCTTAGGACTATTTTAGTTAGAGTGATTTTAATTTGATTATACCCATCACTTATTCGATAGCATATCCATTCCCAATGCCAATAATATAAACCAGGACCAAGGCCTCATCCAAGGAAAAGTTCATCGTACACATCGTATATGAAACAAAACTAGGCGTCTTTTTTGTCCATTCAAAGGAATAAAATGATGCATAGCCGTTAGTGGCAAATTCAGTCTACAAATTGTTGTTCTTTTATCTATAAACCACAAAAATCATAATACAAAGGTTGTGGTTTCTAGAAGGTTGCAACCTTAAACAATCCAATTAAGACGTACCTTCAAATAACTTTTTAATTTATTGGAAAAAATTTAAATAACGGAGAAGCCCTAAACAATCACAGTAAAGTGCATCTCAAAATGCACTAGAAGAAGTTGTTTAAATGCCCAAAAATCCTCAAATTGATCATCTTAAGCTCAAGATTAATGGACATGACAAAAAATAAATTTTAGAAATAATACATCTTATAATGCATTTTTGGGCCGTCAATTTTCATGATTTTCAAGTGACTATAAATTTAATCAATCTACTCTATTTTTTAAAATTTTAAATTTTATAATTAAATATAAAAATAAAATTTCAAATCATATATCTTTCAACGCTATATAAAAGCACGACTTACTTTGATAGTTAAGGGCCGCGGCCTTATACAAACCACACCCTTCTTTAATTCGAGAGGATTTGTGAGTTGGAAGCAATGAATCAACTACAAATGTGATTCGAGGCAAATCCTAATCGTGACGCACCTTATCTCACTTTTGAAAAGTCTATCACCCAAAAAGAATGAAAAGACGTCTTGTAAATAAATAAAATAAAATGAAAAGACATCCCCCCCACTTACTCGAAATGTCAAAAATCTCGTTGTCAATTGACCACTACATTATTGCATTTGATGATTATCATTAGGGGCTAAATGAACCCCTCCACTTCTTATGGATTTGAAATTATTAATTCTTTATAAGAAAAGAGTGTTCAACGAGCCGGGACTCTATTCTCACTAAATGAGTATGAGCCTAAATCCCCATTTACTTACCCAATAAAAAAAATACTCTTATAGAATTAATTTTTGAATTATAAATTTTAGGGATGTCACATATCCAACTCATAAATTAACCTCAATAAATATCAATAATGTATTTTAAAAAAATATTGTCTCGACATTGAATAGAGATCATCTAATTTTTAGATAGTGAAATCTAAGTGTTAAAAACTCAAACACCTTTTTTTATGTGAGAATAAACATCTAATAGCTCTTAAGTGTTCCTAAAATTTTAAACACAGAAAAATACTCCCAAAGAGGTCTTTGGACAGCAGGAGTAGAACCAATATGCTATAAGAAAAAAAATATCTTTGTGTTCATTATAATATTTATAGTAAAAATAAATATTTTTAATTTAGAAGCAAATGGATACCTAAAAATTGGGTGAGGTTTATATAAGGTATACACCTTATACTATTAAAGTAAGGTGCACCTTTCAATTTTGCTAGAAGATGTAGTTCTAGTGTTGGGAACGCTACAATGGCTTGAAAATCCATGCTCAACCTTAATTATTAAATTTAAAACTATAAAAATATTGCGGATCGATTAGATCTATAAGCACTTGAAAATCTTGAAATAAACCGATCCATATAATTTGTTATAATATATACTATTTTTTGGACTTGAATTTTTTTTTTCTCTTTATATCCATACATCTCGATGTCGAAATGATCAATTGTAAGGTTTTTTAGCTCCGAAACACTCTTTTTACTGAATTTTTGAAGTACACCTTACTTCTACAATATAAGATTGCAACCTTATATGAATTTTTTTCTTTTAACTATTGGAAATAGTTTATATAAGGTGCAACCTCATACTATTGAAGGCACACTTTAAAAATCTATAACAAAAAAAGATATTTGTGTTAAAAAACCCTCAAATTGATCATATCAAGCTCAAAACGTAGAATATGAAAAGAAAAAAAAAATTTCAAGTCATGAAAGTAATATATCTTGTAACACATTATTTGGACAGTCTATTTTTTTTAAAAAAACTAAGTGTTGCATGATATGCATCATTTTTAGGCTCAAAATTTCATAATTAGAGATAACTATAGATTTTTATGTCATCGAGCTTTTTGGCACCGAAATTGCATTTTTTAGTATAGTTTTGAACTGCGACTTACTTCAATGGTATAAATTTGACACCTTATGCAAACCTTACCCTTAACCATCCAGCTCAAATGACTTAAGTGGGCAAAATTATCGAAGTGCTCTGACTTGGTCTAGTTACAAACATAAAGCAAGAGAAATTTGGATTTTTTAGCAAAATATTAAGCGCCAAGTCAAATGACTTTTAAAAAGTAGGGAAGTTCGTCAAAATACCCACAAGAGATGGATTATTTAACAATTTATCCTTTTAGAAGTATTATAATTATTTTATGGGTATTTTGAAATTAAATAAAAAAATAGGCAAAGTTTTAAATTATTAATCTTTTATGGGTAACTTCATAAAATTTCCCAAAAAGTAGCTGCTTTCATTAATAAAAAATGTGCGATTTAAGCAAGTACGTCCTTGAGTTTTAGAGGCGTCTTGACCAATTAATGATATTTTCGACTATTGTTATTATTATTGTTTTGGGATTACCTACAAAGAGACTACTTATTTTTTTATATAAAGAGGTCACAATCATTCTTGTCCTTTAAATTTCAAAATGGGTAGTTGTAAGAGTGTCATAGATTAGATACAAAGTTTTTTTAAAAAAAAAAAAAAATCTTGGACTTCATGACTATTGTTATTGTTGTTATTGCTCTCCCATGCTTTTTTCCCCCTTTTGTCTTACAAAATTAATGGAAGTATGTAGTAGAGTTATTTTGCGGTCTAATAAGGGTGATGACCTTAAACTTTTACTTAATCTATCCCATG